TGTGAGAGTCGAAACCCGAAAACCCTAAACCGTGAACCCTCAACCCTGAACCCGAATCCTAAACCCTGAACCCTAAACCCTAAACCCTAAACCCTAAACCCGAAACCCTAAACCCTAAACCCAAATCCCCCAAACAAAACCCAAGGCTTTCTGGCGCTTAGCTCCCGGAGAGCTACAGCGGCTCGGAGGACCCCAGCAGAAAGAGTCCGGTGACACTTTTTGGAGCTTCAAACTTTGGGTTTAGGGGTTCAGGGCGGCTTTTCGGGTTTAGGGTTTAGGTGTTTAGAGGTTTAGGGTTTAGGGTTTAGGTGTTTAAGGGTTTAGGTGTTTTAATGGTTTAGGGTTTAGGGTTTAGGGTTTGGAGTTTATAGGCTCATGCTCACCTAAACCTTTATTCGCCCCGACCCTGCAATTAGGCTCTGTGTCTTAGAACTCGGCTCATGGAGGACCAGATGTGCAAGGCTTCGTGGCCACCTGGCTGGACAGGGTTTAAGTCTTAGGGCTTTGGGGCATGAGGCTTAGGGCTTGTAGGGCTTAGGGCTTATAGGGTTTAGGGCTTAGGGTTTAGGGCTTAAGGTTTAGGTCTTAGTGGTCTTTGGGTTTAGGAATTTACGGGTTCAAAGGTCACAAGACGAAAGCTGCATGAGCCTACAGGGTGTGAGTGGGGATGTTGAGGGTTTGTTTTTCATGATGCCATACGGTGTTGACGAGGATGTTGAGGGTTTCTTATTGCTTTGTTTGTAGGATGGTTATAACAAGACGTAAATGGTTTAGGGTGTGTGTTCGTCCTTGGGGCAGCTCTCTACGCCCACCCCCCATGACGTTGCAGTTCTCCTTGCTCGTAGCTGGGTTGAACTGTATTGCATGCAAGAAACAGCGGTAACCTAGGTGTCTTGAGACTCTTTCTTAACTGAGTCTTGCCCCATGTAATATATTATTAACATCCATTAACTTTATTACAGGATCATTACATTGCATCAGGTTATGTTCCATTATACTATATCATAGAAGGTGCCCACTAGGGGGTTCTATTATCCACGTGCTTGGAAGGGTCTGGGTACATCTGCAATCCCTTCTCGCTCTCTTTGCTGTTTAGGGGCGTATAGTTGGGTGCTGAGGTCACGAGTTGGTGCCCAACTCTTGGGGCGAATGAGATGTCATGAGCCTGCAAACACACCGAAATAGACTGCCTAAGTAGGCATAAACAGAAAACCCTCCATGCCTCCTGAGACCACAAGCCTGCACCGGAATTGCATCACGACCGAGCAGTTCAACGCGTCATCCATCAATCAGGGGACTGCCTAAGCTTGTAGCAGCAGCGAGGCATTCATCATAGGGTCGATCGGCAGATTCGATTTGGAAGTGCGGTCTACTGTACCTACAGGTGATTTGGGGACCCAGTTGCATAGTGGCGATGCCATTGCATAATATGATACATTCATATACACCTATGTATGCGTACATGTATGTATATATCTATCTGCACTCATTGTGGCATCTCTCCTTAGCCTTTAGTGCACAGACAGCTTGATGCCCGCCACCCACCCCGCCGTTCTGTGTGGAATTCGGCCCCCAAGCTCGTTTTATCACGGGGCCTCTTATTCAGGCTGTGCTTGACAGGGTTTAGGGTTCAGGGTTTAGGATTAAGAGTTTTACGACATCTTTTTTGGGTATCTCTTTCCAAGAAAATTCCGATCAGAGTTGGAAAAAGTGTTTGTTTTTAATTAAAAAAAATTCTATAAAGTGGGCCTGGGAAGAAGTCAAGAGATCCACGGGTCAAGGTCAGCTACTGGCGCGGCAAGCAAACGCCGCTGGGCTCTGAAATACCACGAACCCTATCATAGGGCGGTTTAGGGTTTAGGGTTTAGGGGGCTAGTATCATGTACCCCAAAACCCCTATTCTAATTGTCAAGGTCCGCATCTTGAATCTCTCAACCCGGATTCCTCGTATCTTCCCTCATTCATCTTCGAACCTGAAGCTCTACAGTAGAAGCCCAGAAGTTGGAAACCAAAAAGCCTCAATCCTTAGGAGTAGCGAATGGGAATCTCAGCAGTCATTGTCCTTATCCCGGTTTTCAACTTTGTTGGGGTCTACTTTATATTCAAACCTGAAGCCCTAAGCCCTGACTGGGGCCCTCGACCCAATTTGTGGGACAAGATTTCGGGGGTTAGGGGCTATAGCTTCTACATTTTGCCATCACAAAAATCACCGACTTCCCTGTGCAATATTTCAAAAACTCTAAACCCTAAACCCTAAACCCTGAACCCTAAACCCTAAACTCTAAACTCTAAACCCTAAACCCTGAGCCCTGAGCCCTGAACCTGGACCTCAGAACCCCGCCAGCCCTCATATCCCAAAGCCGTCAAGCCCTTAAGCTCGGCAGCCCAGAATTCAGAATGTATATAGGAGCCTTGATGCTTAGGACCGGGTTTGGGGGCTCCTTTATAGTAGAGCCATAACAGGGAGCCCTGAGGAATAACATTATGAACTATTTAAGCCTCTATAGTTGAGCCCTGAAACAACTTGGTAGTGGTTTAAGTAACCTTCAACCTCTTTGGGAGATCATGATCCCAAGATATTCCCAGAGAGCCCAACACCACTTAATTCAGGAGTATTCCCTTAAATTAGAGGTGCCTTAATATTCATATTTTTAAGTAAGGTAGATTCCTAAAAAAAAAGGGCTATTGGGCTCTCTGGGTTTCCCGACGGTTCACCCTTGAGGTTCCGCTAGAAAAGCCTGGAAGTCCGAGAACCTGGAGAGGTTGTCACTGGCCCGGTCGATGGCCTTCGGGCTGGGCATCTGCACCGATGTCACTTGCAGCGATTGGGGTTTAGGGATGAGGATTTAGGGTTTTAGTGTTTAGGGTTGAGGATTTAGGGTTTTAGGTTTTAGGGTTTAGGGTTGAGGATTTAGGGTTTTAGGGTTTAGGGTTTAGGGTTGCAACGATTGAGCAGATTCTCCTTGGGAGTAAGACGACTTCGTATGGAGCGGGGGTTCTATCGGGGGGTTCTTAGTACAAGCCGTCGTTCTATTTCGGTTGTGTGTATGTGTGAGGGGCTGCCAACTCTAATGATTTTCTAAATCAGCATGAACTTGTAGAGCGGTTTATGTTGATGATTCAGGCGAAGCAAACCAGGTTTGTTGCATATAGGGCGTTCAACAGACAGTCTAGTGTGGTCGGGTTTGGGATTGAGAATTTAGGGCCAGGAAGCTTAGTTAGATTCTGATTGTAGAATTGTAGAAATGCTTCACAGGATTTTGGGGTTGTGCGAGTGTAGGCATTAGTACATCTCAGGTCCCGCAGCAGTACCCGTTTGCGCTTTGTCCCTTTTAAGCTGGGCAGCAGGAAACAGGAGTACTGTTTCTACGGGCTCCTTCCTAAAACCCGAAAACCTGAACTCTAAATTCAGAGGAAGGCTTAAACCTGAACCCTACACCCAATTAAACCTGAAGCCCTAAAACCTCAAAGTTGAGCCGAAGGTTTCCGTAAGCCCTAAACTCAATCAAACCTCAAAACCCTAAAGCCTCTAAATTTAAAACAACGTTTACACCAGAAGCCTTTTCCTAAACCCTAACCCCGAAAAACCTTAAACCCTAAACTAATTGCACCTTAAAACCCTAAAACCTCTAGATTGAGAGGTGTGAACCCTAAACCCTAAACTTAATATCAACTTTAAAACCGTAAAACCACTAGACGGAAGGAAGGTTTAGGGGTTGACAGTTGGAACTTTGGCCGGGGTTCGGGCGCGTTGTGAAGGCTCCCTCACTCGGACATATCGGGCGGGTGTAGGGCTTAGGGGTTTAGGGGGGTTTAGGGGTTTAGGGCTTAGGGGTTCAGTGTTAGCGTCTCGGAAAATATAGAAACCTGAGTGAAAACGCCCGTTTCCGATGAGTTCCTTTTCTTGGTGTTTAAACTACAGTATGACGGGCCTAAGCCCCTTCTTCCAGCAATGAAGACCCCGATTGTATTTGGGGGTTTCCGAAAATAGGGGACCCCAATATAGCACCTTAAATAGTAGGATCCTTATTGTCAGGACCCCAAAATAAGGTACCCCTTATTTTTCGGAAACTCCCATTTAGGGTTTGGTGGGGCACAGATCCATTCTTCCCTGAAGCCCGGTGAGGCCGAAGGAGGGCCTGGGGGGAGTTCGGTTCAGGAAGGACTGCTTGAAGATATTGCTTCTATTATTCATGATTATGCTTATTTTGCCTATTGTTATTGTCATATTCCTCTTTTGAGAGTTTTTTTATAGATAATAGTGTTATTAACCTGCATCAAGCCTGAAGAACATATGTGGACACAGCTTTAGCAATGTCAAGATGAAAGCTGCGAATACCGCACAATCGCCGCAAAGGCTCAAGCAAGGACGGTTTCCGGAACTCTCAACCACCGTCGTTTGTGTCCCGTTCTTCCCTCGCCCTCAACCGTTGACAGCCTTTGCAAGCGACATGTCACATACAAGGCAAGGAGGCGCACCAGGCCTTGTAAATCCTTTACATCAGTGCGCATATCATCAGCGCATACGCAGCACGTACTGGGCTCAGCACGTTCCAGCCCTGCACCCTGTAAGAAAATGAAACATGCTCTAAGGCCCCAAGCCCTGAGACCTTGACTAAAGTCACGAGCCGCCAAACCCGATACCTAAACCCTAAGCTCTAAATCGTCCTTAGCAGGTGATCCGCCAACCAGAGGTCGATGAAGAAGCTCTGCAGGCAGAGGCTGCACCTGCAGTCACTGAGGCAGGGCGTGCGAAATTTAAGTTTAGGGTTTAGGGATTATAGGGTTCAAAAGGGCCTAGAGTGATGTTAACATGGCTTGCGGCTCAGGGTCTTATAAGTTTAAAGGGGCTGTAGGGAGGGTGTCTATTCAGGAATCAAGCAGAGCTTCATAAGGGCTGTATTGGGATTTTGTATGGCTAAAAGTGTGTTGTAAGCGTGTAAAGGGGCTGGAATACCTATGCGGTTGTACTTACCTGTAGCCCGAACAAGCTACTTCTTCTCGGCCCCCTAATTTTACGTAGCCTCTGCAGAGACTCCCTTAGAAGGATAGGTCTTGTCCTCTACTTGTTGGTGATGCCCAGTAACAGAGGTAACACCAACTGTGGCAACATGACTATGGGCCACAGTGAAGACCACTGTGCCAACCACTTTGCTGACACCACAGGTGCCAACACCAATTTTGCCAACTCCAACTGTGCCAGCCAACTGTGCTACCAAACTGCCACCAACTGTGCGAACTCTGCCGACACGGACTGTGCCAACACCAAACTGAGCGACGAACAGTGCAAACTGCGCCAACCCCACTTGTGCCAACTGCACCAATACCAACTGTGTCTGTGCCAACACTGTTGGCAACACCAACCGCGCCTACACCAACTGTGACACAACTGTTCCAACACCAACTGCGCCACCCGAAACCCCGAACCCTAAACCCCAAATCCTAAACCCTAAACCCTAAATCCTCCTAAACCTAAACCCTTAACCCTAAAATCTCCCTAAAACCCCAAACCCTAAACCCGATGGTGGATTGCGCGACTTCTACAGCCGAGGGTCTCTGGATTTTTTATGTTTTTTGTTTTAGGGTTTTAGGGTTTAGGGTTGAGGGTTTAGGGTTTTAGGGTTTAGAGTTTTAGGGTTTTAGGGTTTAGGGTTTAGGGTTGAAGGTTGAGGGTTAGGGTTAGATCCGATCCTTGGCAGACAGCCGGCACCCCAACTTCAACAGAAGAGGCCCCAGCAAACACCGCGGGATTCCAGGATGAATGAGGGTGTGGGGTTTAGGGGTTTTAGGGGTTTTAGGGGTTTCAGGGTTTAGGGTGGTCCGAATCCGAAACTAAGTTACAGCAGTTAAGTTTGAATTCTGATCCTTCGAAGCTTCCCCCAAGCAGATGGAGCCTATGACTTTGCCACTGCGGCTGGGATCGCCGAGCCTTTTCCCACAGGCACGTAGATTCCGGGATGGCAAGCATCGCTGTTTAAACCGGTTTAGGGTCCAGGGTTTAGGGTCTAGGGTTTTGGGTCTAGGGTCTAGGGTCTAGGGTCTAGGGTCTAGGGTCTAGGGTTTAGGGTTTAGGGTTTAGTCTGGAGGCCCTTGGCCTTGCAGACTGATCATGGGACTTAGTGTAGGGTTATATAGGGGTATGCCCGGCATCTGGACTGTGTCTAACACAGAGTCTCATGAGGCGCTGACAACACCGTTGATTTTTGTTGCTTTCATTTCCCAGATGCAACGAAAGTCTCAGTTTGCTGCCAGTAATTTCCTCCATCTTAGTGCCAGGCAATTGCGGAACCCCACGAAGAAGAGTATCCAAAACACCAGCGACATTTGTGTCAAGTAAATGTGTCTGCGTGTGGGTGTTTGGTTGCTTGACTGTTTTTTGTGTCTGTGTCTGCATGTCTTTATGTTGGGAGGGCCTACCGGCGTTTACTAGTGTTCTGAGAAGAGTTGGTTAAGTTCTGGACGTGAGCACCTCCATGAGCCACCGACGAGTACCCAAGTAGTGGAGGCATCTATCTGTATGCCTCAGAGTGATGACTCCTAGGGGGTATGCTGCTCAAGTGCCCCAAAACGGCTTTCAAAGTAATTCTCAGGATGCATTCTGGGTAGCTGCAGGATGAAAGCAGACGTAGGCTTCTGCTTCGCTTGCTACGACCACCCTCAGAAGCGCAATGTCGATTTCGGTGGATGTGCATCTGCTGAGTGGAGCGAAGGCCTCTCTGGAAGTGCACGTGGACGCGTCTGTTGAGTCTCTCAACACGTGTGCCCAGAGTGCTTTAAACGTTGGCAAAGGCAGGCTGTTGAACTCTTGTGGGGAGGTACTTGATGGAGCGTCAAGTATCGAAAGAGCAAGGCTGCAGAACGGTGAAGTGCTGACCCTGCATGTGCAGCAGGTCGCACTTGCAGCGACGCAACGATGTGGTGTGCTCTGGGATGGCTCGGCATTGGCTGCAATCTTAGGTGATGGATCTGTAGACACCTGGGGTAATGCCAACTATCGTGGCAACAGCAGTGTGGTACAAGATCAGTTGCGAGATGTGCAACAGATCCAAGCTTCTGATAGTGCATTTGCTGCAATCCGGGGCGATGGATCTGTCGTCACCTGGGGTTGCGCCGACCGTGGTGGCGACAGCAGTGCCGTCCAGGAGCAGCTGACGAATGTGCAGCAGATCCAAGCTTCTGCATGTGCATTTGCTGCAATCCTGGGTGCTGGGTCTGTGGTCACTTGGGGCAGTGCCGACCATGGTGGCGACAGCAGCGCAGCACAGGATCAGCTGCGAGATGTGAAGCAGATTCAAGCTTCATTCGCTGCATTTGCTGCAATCCTGGGTGATGGATCTGTGGTCACCCTGGGGTAATGCCAACCATGGTGGCGACAGCAGTGCGGCACAGGATCAGCTGCGAGATGTGAGGCAGATCCAGGCTTCTTCATATGCATTTGCTGCAATCCTGGGTGATGGATCTGTGGTCACCTGGGGTGAGGCCGACTATGAGGGCGACAGCAGTGCGGTACAGGATCAGCTGCGAGATGTGAGGCAGATCCAAGCTTCTGCATTTGCATTTGCTGCAATCCTGGGTGATGGATCTGTCGTCACCTGGGGTTTTGACGAAGGTGGTGGTGACAGCAGTGAGGTACGGGATCAGTTGCGAGATGTGCAACATATCCAAGCTTCTGATGATGCATTTGCTGCAATCCGGGGCGATGGATTTGTCGTCACCTGGGGCCATGCCGACTGTGGTGGCGACAGCAGTGCGGCACAGGATCAGCTGCGAGATGTGAGGCAGATCCAAGCTTCTGATGGTGCATTTGCTGCAATCCTGGGTGATGGATCAGTAGTCACCTGGGGTAGGGCCGACTTTGGTGGCGACAGCAGTGCGGTACAGGATCAGCTGCGAGATGTGAGGCAGATCCAAGCTTCTTCGAAGGCATTTGCTGCAATTCTGGGTGATGGATCTGTGGTCACCTGGGGTCATGCCGAGCTTGGTGGCGACAGCAGCGCCGTGCAGGAGCTGCTGAAGAATGTCCAACACATCCAGGCCTCTGGTCGTCAAGTTGCTGCAATCTTGGGCGACGGAGCTGTGGTCACCTGGGGTGATGAATGATGAGCTGTCGCCACCGGGCGACTGCAGTTTTGAAGAAGCAGCTGACGAGTTTGTCGTGAACTCGTGACTAGCCCGTTCTTCTTCTTAGTAGGGTAGGTAGACTTTAACCTTTTGAAACATGATAATCCCAATTTAAGGGAATCCCAAAGGTCAATCTTAAGTTTCCCTAGGATACTGGACAAGTAAATCTACATTATCACAACAACCGAGGAGTTAATGGACATACGGTTGATGATATAAATCCTGCCATACCCAAAATAAGGAATATACTATATTTTCCACAGTGTTGGGTCCTGAAGGTACTGCAGGATTTATATCATCAACAGTAGAACTCTACTCTGGGTCTTAGGGGCTTGTAGTAGTGCTTTCGATGCGGGCATACAGGGTTTGGTTCAGGCCTCGTGTGGCTGCGGAGGAGGGCTGGTATCCCAGACTCGCCCACACGTTTATGCGTGGTCCTGATACTGTTGAAGCACGTCCGTCCGACGGCAGACGACGTCGAAGCCTCATTCTGGCCATCATCCGGGGCACAGGGCGGTGGACCTGAGGCAGTCCACACGCTGCTGAGGATCAGAGAAAGGGAGGCTGAAGGGGCTGTCTCTTTGATCGCAGCCATCGGGATTCAGCGGACTCGCTGCTGACCGAGATCCAGCCACTTTTTGCAGTGCGCCGTCGGTCCTGGACACCTCCGCGTGACACCTCCGCCAACAGGAACCCGAACTTAGAACCTTAAACCCTGAACCCGAACGACCTAAACTCTAAAGCCGCTTAGAACCAGAAAAGGACCCTTGCCACTGGTGCCTAAGTGAGAGTGGAAGAGGGAAAATGGGGAATATAGTACAGGATTATCGAAGGGGTTTCTGTGCAGGGGTTCACCCTCCCTCCCTAAAACCCAAACCCTATACCGTGAAACCCTAAACCCTAAGTCCAAACCCTCAAGCCTAGACGGCCTAAACCCCAAATCCCACGCCTCATACCCTAGAACCTTAAACCCTTAAAGCCCAAACCCTCAAGCCTAAACTCTACAGCCCAAACCCTATACCCTAGAACCCTAAAGCCTTTCGACCCAAACCTTCCAGCTTAAACCCTAAAACCCAAACCCTATACCCTAAGACTCTAAAGCCTACAACCCAAACCCGAAACCCTAAAACCGCAAAGCCTTCAGGCCCAAACCCTCCAGCCTAAACCGTAAAACCCCATACCCTAAAACCCAAAGCCCTTAAAACCCAAGCCCTACAACCCAAACCCTATACCCTAAAACCCTAAGCCCGTGTTCACCCCCCACAAGTGTGTGCTACGGCAGACGTAAAAGTCATCACACTAAAAAAAAAGCTAAACCCTTACTGAACCCAACAATAACCTGGAGGCCCTTATCGGTCCCTGGGTTCGTGGCCTGACGGTGCTCCACGTGCGCGAGGCACGGGTCAATTCCGTCTTCCAGCAAATCTCGGGTTGAGGGTTTAGGGTCTTGAAGGGTTCAGGGCTTTAGGGTTTAGGGCTTTGGGGTTTAGGGTTTTAGGGTTTAGGGCTTCTGGGTTTAGGGTTTAGGGTTTTAGGGTTTAGAGTTTTAGGGTTTCAGGGTTGTCTTCCGGGTGCCGTAATACTTTGCAGCGGGTTCCTGTAAAAGGGTTCTACAAGAGAGTTTAGGTTTCAGTGTAGGGCCAGTTCGAAGCGGGTTTCTGTAACACGGTTTTATAAGAATGTTTAGGGTTTAGTATTAAAGGGCATAGTTGAAATCGGGTTCCTTCAACAGGGTTCGTTCCAAAAGGTTACTATAAGAGGCTTAGTATGGGGGGCCGTATTCAAGAACAGGGGTTTAGGGGCATTATGTTGTATAGCTACAATAGAACACCCTTCGGAATAGCACCACTAATTAATGAGGCTTCTCGGCTGTAGTAGGGCCCAAACGGTAGAGTTCACGTGGAGGGTCGGGGCAGTTGGTGAATAGTTATTTTATAGAGCAGCGATAAGTCTCGTAACCCCAATTAGGATGCCTGTAAGTGTACTTCTACGCCTATTTATTTATTACCGACTGACTGAGTCCCCCGACCCTCCAGGTTTAGGTTTAGGACACAAATGACGCTTCTATCGTTGTGTTAAGAAAAAACGAGAGGTCCATTGCTAACTACTGGTGTTTTGAATGGGTCTCCAAGGCTTCTGTGTAGGGGCTGTAGTATAGGGTAGGGTTTAGGGTTAAGGGTTTCGGGTTTAGGGTTTAGGGTTTAGCATCCAGGCATGAATTTTTCGCGAAGTTCCGAGACTGTACCGAGGGGAGACGCAGAGCCCTGCGAACCTTGCTGCGTAGATTCGCAGTTGGCAAGCTATAGCAAAGGGCCCTACGATCGGGGCGCTGTTTACAAAAGAAATTAGCCCCTATCTAGATCTAGATCTAGATCTGTATGTGTGATATGAATATGTATACTACTACTGAACCGCGTAAAGATCCCCATGCTTAAAGCAAATCAACGACAAGGGTCTGGAAGCCAGGCACAGATTCAGCCGAGCATTCGACCATTGTGTGTGGGGGGTTTAGGGGTGGGGCCCTAAGCCCTAAACTCTAAAAACCAAACTTTAGGAGCCTTAGGCCTTCGTCACGTAGTCTTCTGGCAGACCGGGAGATAGGGAAGATGGGGATCTGAATACAGACTCTACATTTGGGGGGTTCTTACAATAAAGACCCCTCCAAACAAGGGAGCCTAGCTAACGTGGCAAGCCGGCCCGGATCTCTTCTTTGGTTTTTATAGGGGTCGGAAGATTTGGAATTAGTTATCCTCTTTTGTTCCTTTTCTTCTATTACTTCTGCAACACCCCAAAGCACCAGTCTCTTTATCAAGGCCCCTTTTACTGTAGCGTTGGGTTCCACAGAATCTCAACTCAAACTTTGAGTCTCGTGCAACTCCTCCACCGTCCCACACCGCCCGCGCAGTACTTCAGACACGTGTCTTCAGTCCCAAAGGTGTAGGGGTTGGGATTGAAGGGTCTAGGGCTGAAGACCCGAGCTATAGGGTGCAGGGTTCCGCAGATGCCTGGATGAGATTGTGATGATTTCCTGTCTAGGGCTCAGGGTTTAGGATCTAGCTGTCGTAGCGAAAGAGAAGTCCCTGCCAGCAATGCCAGGGCTTCATCTGTGAGGAGCTGGATCAAACCTTTCCCTTGCAGGTGCCTGCGGGTTCACCCTGATTCCACAACGTCATGAATGCGGGGTTCTGTAAAATATGTCTTTGTATTGTAGTGAGAAGTGTAAGAGTCACTCATTCTTTTCTGGGACCAGAAGATGATCAGAGAAATTCTGACCAACCGGCACCATGCATTGCTACTGCTGCTTTGTTTGACGATCACGGTCTTCATTTTCGTCTTTATGATCGTCAGCATCATCACACACCTAGTTCCCCAATACCCAACCTTTAAATTTTGGGGTTCTTATAATTTAGTCATAACCTTAAAGTTTAACCTTATATTTTCCTGGCTTATTGGGGAAGTAAGCACCAGCATCTTCGTCGCCACCATCTTGGATCTGCACCTTGGCCTTCCCCGCAGATCATCGAGGCCCCGAAGTACGCCGAACATCATACGGGAGTTTCCAAAAATTAGGGTACCTTTTGTGATTGTGGGGTCCTTATGACAAGGGTCCTACTATTTAGGGTACTATAGGGTCCCCTGTTTTCGGAAACTTCCATACCCTTAGCCCGAGAGCCTATAGCCTACAGCGTAAGGTTTATAAGCCAAAGGCGCATTGAACAAACCCGGAAACGCAGGCCTTTCACCCTAAACCCTAACCCTAGACCCTAAACCTAAATCCAGGTCTTTCCGGAGATTATCTATCCTCCATGGGGCGAATGGGTTCTCAATGTCTCCCGCAGCTCTCCACTCGTTCTCGAGTGGGCACAGAGACCCAGCTCAAACTAATTCCCGAGCCCGTGCGAGTTTAGGGATTTAGGGATTTAGGGTTTAGGATTTAGGGATTTAGGGTTTAGGATTTAGGGATTTAGGGTTTAGGATTTAGGGATTTAGGGTTTAGGATTTAGGCTGTATGGCCAAACAAACCCCGAGCCCTTGTGTGGTGGTGAGTATATGTACAGTGTTTCACTGGTGTGAAACCCTAAACCCCAAAACCCCAAAACCCCAAAACCCCAAACCACTAAACCCTAAATCCTAACATCAAACCTTCCAAGTGAATCCGCAAAAAGCCTGAAGACCCTAAACCCTCAACCTCTCAAACCTTGACGCCTGCACCATGCTTCACCCCTTTAGCCTCACACCCCTAAGGCCCTGAAGGACTGCAGCCCTCCCCTCTTAGAGGGCTTCGAGTTTCAGGATGTTGGGTTTTGGGTTTAGGGCTCCTGGGTTTAGGATTTTGGCTCTAGGGCTAGGGCGCCCGAAACCCGAAGAACTGCAAGCGGGACATCTGAGCAGGACCCTGTCAATGTAGGAGTCGGGACAAGAAGAAGAACAAGGAACAGAAGGCATAACAGTAGTAGTTGTAGCAGTACTAGTACTTGTACTAGCTGCTGTACGTGTACCAGCTGCACTAGTTGTACTAGTAGTGCAAGTAGCACTAGAAGTGGTAGTCGTCGTCGTAATATACAAGAATACACACTCAGATGCAAGAATGTGCAAGAACTATAGGCAAAGAGATTCCCTTGTAGCCTTCTTGTTTTCAATGGGTGAGAGTATGCTATGTACTTTACGGTGCTCGTGTGCTGTTTTAAGTGCTGGTGCTTGTTTGTTTGTCAGTTTCTTTCATCGGGATTGTTGCTAATCTTCTAAAGGGAGTAGAGTATACCATAGAGGCCGGAATGTGTACCAACATTCTTACTCGGATTCCTTATTATGGGCAGCATACTTTGCCAAAGCCCTGTACTAACCATTATGAAGCCATGTTCCAAGGCAAATCGACGCTGGAGGAATTCGCTCAAACCGAGTCATCCGCTGGATTCGCCCCTGGCTGCTGCAAGGGCGGCTCTACGTAGACTCGGCAGGAAGCGCAGCTCATCAGATACCATTTAAACCCTATAGACCCTAAGTAGACTCAGAGTTGTTTTGGGATGTGGGCTTTAGGCGGTACGGTGCAGCTTTTGAGGTTGGAAGCTTGCGGATTTGGGCTTTAGGACCGTTGCAGAGTTACGAAACAGAGCCACTCGAGTTATTTCAATTCAGAACGACGACTCAATCGAAGGTTTCAGGAATCTGAACCTTAGACCCTAAAGCCTGAACCCCAGACCCTAACCCTAAGCCCTAAAACTCTAAAAAAACCCTAAACCCCCAAAACCCTAAAACTCTAAAACCCTAAACCCCCAAAACCCTAAAGCCCTAAACCCTAAACCCCCCAAACCCTAAAGCCCTAAGCCCTAGACCAGGGAGTGTTGCCAGCCTTGGTTCCTCTGGCCGAGGCTGTACAGAATTGGCTCGGGTTGAACAGTGCGAGTCGTGAGGCCATGAGTAGTATTCTGTTTAGTTTTGGGGGGGTTTTAGGGTTTAGGGTTTAGCATTTAGCGCTTCGGGGTTTGGGGTGGGAGGTTTACGGATTGGGGCTTAGGATTTGGAAGAAAGCTGCGGCGATAGTATGGAATTAAGCCTGCACTCACAGCGAAGCTCAAAACGAAGCAGGTTTTCGTGACATCCCCAAGCGCCAATTAGGCGTTTGGGATGTAAGGTTTCGGGCTGAGGGCTTTAGGTTTGACGGTTTAGGATTCGGGGGTTGGGGTTGAGGGCTTAGGGGTTTACGACTTAGGATGTTAGTTTTCATGCAATTAGATGGTTAATTACAAGTACAAGAGGAGGCCCTCCACCCTAAACCGTAAGGCCAACCCTAAAGCCTAAACCCTGCAAGCCTAAATTGGGAGATGCAACAGATATTGCGGTCACCAATAAGGCCCTCAACAAAGCAAACCTACATGCGAATCCCTCATGTTCGAATGGGAGGATCTAGAAAGTAGATCGATTAAGGAGGCTTATCCGTTAGTAGTATAGGATTCCAGCATTGGGGGGGGTTCTACCTTCTAGATCCTCCCAACGGTCTGGGTCTAAGTTTGCTTTGAAACCCTTTCCGACGTCGTAAAGACTCGGTGACCTCACATTCGGGCGTACAGAAAACCCCACAAAACCCCAAAATCATATAGCACCCGCTACAAAGCTGGATTCGTTGTCGAAGGGTTTGTCTGTTTCAGCTCAGGCTGACGTGAATGGCTCCTACATCCCGGACTTCACTGGCACCTCCTTAAGGTGAGCTTTGCGTTTGTTCTGAGGGGCTCGTGAATAGTCGGCCTAAATGGCTACCAGTAATATTCCCCGGGGCTCCCTTTAACTTATATTGATCTTGAAATAACTACCAAGGTTATTCCCCAGGCTTCCTTTGTGAAGTTTTTGGTAGTATACCCGAAGCCCCAACAAGTCAGACGCCTAAGCTAAGGATGCACTATGACCTGCGGTCTCAACAAGCACATCAATACTAGAAACAAGCATCGGGGGGCTGTCCGTCACAGACGGTTTCCGGCTTGCAGAGTGGGCTTCGTCGTGTTCTGGCAAGCTGTACTCCAACATCGAGAAAGCAGAAACCCGACGGTTTAGGTTTGGTGCTTAGGGTTCGTGCTACTATTTTTAAACCCTTGCCGCACACGCCAGTTGATGACCCCACCAAACCCTAAACCGTAAGCCCCTAACTTTCAAATCGCTGGTACTGGAGTAACTAGCAACACTGTTCCTGAGGTTCCTTAGTGTGCTCAAAGTCTCATACTCCCCAGACGAACAGCGGGATTATTCCCCTCAAACCCTGTACTCCGTATAAGCCCTAAACCCTAAAGACCCTAAACCCGAAACCCTATAGACCCTCAAGCCTATAGACCCAGAAGCCTTTATTAGCCCTATTCAATAGCCCAGTCGCCTAAACCCCAAACCCTGAACCCTAAACCCTGAACCCTAAACCCTAAACCCTAAACCTCAACCCTCCTGCCAGGTATGCCAAGGTGGAGCCCGGGAGGCAACTCGTAGAGCTCCGACACATGAACGAGCCCGGTCCTCATCTCAGGGTCTCTCCAAGGGCTTAGGGTTTAGGATTTAGGGCTTAGGGGTTAGGCTATTATGGTTTAGGATGTAGGGTTTAGGGCTTAGGGTTTAGGGTCTAGGGGCTAGGCTATTAGGGCCTATTAGGGTTTAGGGTTTAGGATTTAGGGTCTAGGGGTTAGGCTATTAGGGTTTAGGATGTAGGGTTCAGGGCTTAGGGTTTAGGGTTTAGGGTCTGGGGGCTAGGCTATTAGGGCCTTTTAGGGTTTAGGGTTTAGGATTTAGGGTCTAGCGGTTAGGCTATTAGGGTTTAGGGTTTAGGGGTTAGGGTTTATAGGGGTTAGGCAATTAGGGTTTAGGATGTAGGGTTAAGGGCTTTGGGTTTAGGATTTAGGGTCTAGGGGTTGGGATATTAGGGTTTAGGGTTTAGGGGTTGGGCTTAGGGTTTAGGATTTAGGGTTTAGGGGTTAGGCTATTGGGGCCTATTATTTAGGATTTAGGGTTTAGGGGTTAGGCTATAAGGGTTTAGGATTTAGGGTCTAGGGGTTAGGCTATTAGGGCCTGTTAGGATTTAGGGTCTAGGGGTTAGGCTATTAGGGCCTATTAGGGTTTAGGATTTAGGGTTTAGGGGTTGGGATTTAGGGTTTAGGGGTTAGGCCATTAGGGCCTATTAGGATTTAGGATTTAGGGTTTAGGGTTTAGGATTTAGGGTTTAGGGGTTAGGCTATTACGGTTTAGGATTTAGGGTTTAGGGTTTAGGGGTTAGGCTTTTAGGGTTTAGGATTTAGGGTTTAGGGTTTAGGAGGCTTCCTTTTCAGAGTCCCTTTGATTCTCTCTTTAAGGGCCCCTTGGGTATCTCAAAAGACTTCTTCTCAGGTGCCTTTAAAATTATGAGTGGAGCTGCCTTGCAAGCTCTGGAATCAGATTTTGGGGTATTCAGGCTTTAGGGTATGCAGGGTTTAGGATAGTGTAAGGTTTTGGGTATTCGTGGCTTCGGGTAGCTTAGAGCTCAGGGCATTCAGGGTTTAGGGTCAGGCCTACCCCGAAGCTCGAGAACGTAGAGTATGACAGACGAGTGGCATGCTCCTTGAGGGATGCGCACTGGGCCGATCTGATTCACTGCGACATCAGTATGACCAATACGTATCGGTACTATCCCTTTAACTATGTAGACTAAAACTATAGTATAACTTTTTCCTCTTAACCATGTAGACTATAACCGTAGTAGAACCTATCCCTTAGCTATGTAGAGATATAACTATAGGCCAGCTTGCCCTGCGACCTAAGGCAATGGGCCTTCGTCTCGGTCGGTGAGGGTCCTGAGCCACTCAGCCTCCGTCATGGCTTAGGGTCTAGGGTTCTCAGTCAAAGGGGGGGAGCTCATGGGACTTGGGATTGGGGGGGAGTTGGGGTTTGAGGATTGAAGATTTTCGGGCGTAGAACCCTAAACCCTAAACCCTAAACCCTAAACCGAGGTCTCGGGTTCGGGATGTTAGGGCTCGGGGGGCTGTAGGGCGTTGGAGCTTTAGAGCAGTACCGCTTCAGAGTACTTTGGGTTAAGGGCTACGGGTCTTAGTACCGTCGAGTTCGGGGTTCCGGTTGAGGGATTGATGAAAGCTGTTCCGGGCTTCATGATGCGTGGGGGTCGGGGTCACATGGGTAGTTCTCTAAGTTAGGGTCCTTTTGTGCCCCCAGAATATAGTACGGCACCCTTGTAAAAAGGCCCCTAAACCCTAAACCCTAAACCCTACACCCTAACCCCTACACCCTAAACCCGCATGGTGATTTAGGACTTGGTAGGGGTGATGTACGGCTGTGTTTAGCTTCAGACCTAGAGCGGTCTTCGTTTAGTTTAACCCTAAACCCCGGTTTAGGGGTTTAGGGTTTAGGGTTTACGGTTTAGGGTTTAGGGTTTAGGGCAAAAGCCTTAAGAAGAGCTCTTATAGTAAACCCCTTCAGAGCTGCCCTTAAAGACGAGCTTAGGGAGATCTTCTACACTGCCCCTGCCGAGCAGCTCCTTGGCCAGTGGGATGACGACCGCCAGCCTCACAGGGGCTCCGGAGCCTCGCCTTGTTTAGGGTTTAGGGTTTAGGGTTTAGGGTTTAATATAGATGCCTAAATGGGTAGTTCTCTAAATTTGGGGTACCTTATTTTGGGGTCCTTATAATAATAAGAGGGATCCTACTAGTTACTAGTTAGGGTACTGTATTAGGGTCCCTTATTTTCGGAAACCCCCATATACCCTAAACCCTAAACCCTAAACCCTAAACCCTAAACCCTAAACCCTAAACCCTAAATAATTACCCATATTACTGTTACGGTTCCTTATTATAAGGATACTTCAAAGGAGCCCATAAGGCCTCTACATTTTGGCTTTAAGGGGGGGTTTAGGGTTTAGGGTTTAGGGTTTAGGGTTTAGGGTTTAGGGTTTTGGGGGGGGGGTTAGGGAGGGTTGGGGCTTTAGGGGTTCAGGGTTCAGGGTTTTCGGCGGTTTACGGCCATAGGGCACTGTTGGGCTTTAGGGCTCTTAGGGTTTAGGGGCTCAGGGTTTAGAGTTTTGGGTGCTTAAGGGGGGGGGGGTTTAGGGTTTGGGGCTTTAGAACTTTGTTTCCGAGCTTGTAAGCTTCAACTGCTTAGACCCTGAACACCCAAAACTGGCTTCAAGGGGTTTAGGGTTTAGAGTTTAGGGTTTAGGTTAAAGTTTGGATTGGTCAGGTCTATGCAATGGACAACCAAGAGAATGTACCTTGTGATTGTAGTATCTTGCACCCCGCAAGTCTTTTGGGCCAGTTCCCCGACATCTTCTTCGCGATGCAGGGAAAGGTGTGTTTAGGGCTCAGGGTTTTGTGTGCAGTGTAAACTTACAGTAGACCTGCAACTCCATTGCCACTCACCTTGCTTGTTTGGGTACCAACCCAAAACCCTAAAACCCGGAAGCCCTGAAGCCCCAAACCCTAAAGCCCTAAAGCCCTAAGCCCTAAACCGTAAGCCCCAAACCCTGATACTATTTTGGGGGTTCCCTAATATATATTTTTAGCTTATAGTATACAATTCTCCCAAAACCCTATTCTAGTTATTAAGGCCCTTACATTGCATAAGCTGCATCATGCGCTGTAGACCCCTGATAAATACACCCCTCTGCCTGTACAGGGAGGGTTTAGGGTTCAGGGCTTTGGGCTTTAGGGGTTTAGGGTAAGAGGCATCTTCATTACTAGGCCCTTCAAGACTACTGTAGGAGCCTTCATAATTAGAGTAGGGTTTTGGGGTATAATATACTACAGTTCTAAGAAGGAACCACCAAAATAGTATAGAACGCCACACCCTAAGCCCTAATCCCTCAACCCTAAACCCTAAACCCAAACCGTTATCCTTCTGAAAGGAGGGGGGGTGATAAGCTACCCTGCTGAGACCTCGCATCGCGAGAGAGCCCAGGTGTGATGCCCGCACCCCGGCTCAGCTTTTGGCAGGATGCCTCCGCAGACCTTATTGAAGCACCTTGGCTCCGGGAGTTCTTCGGTTTGGGACTCTACGGCTTCGGAGATTTTTAGGAGTTCTGGCTTGGGATTCGGTTCTGTGGAATTTAAAATTATGGACTCCGAAGCAGGCCCTGATCCCTAAACCCCAAAAAGCTCTAAACCTAAACCCGGCAGCCTCAACCTGAGATTCCCAACTGCTGCACCTACATCGCCTGGATCCATCTCCTCGGCTTTCATGAGTTTAGGGACTAGGGTTTAGGGTTTAGGGATTAGCGTTTAGGGGTTAGTGTTTAGGGTTTGGGATTCGGGTTCGCGCGTCCGGAGAGCCAGATACAGAGATGTTGGATGGCTTTGTCTGAACGGTTTAGGGTCTGAGTCTTGAGACTTTCTGAGACTGCTTGCTGGTAGCCCTTGCAGGCCCGCAGGTGCCGTTTTGTATGAAACAGCGATTCCCTGCTGGCCTTGATACGGAATGTCCCTTGGATGTTGCCGTACCTGGGTCGCCGCAACCCTAAACCCCAAACCGTAGCGAATTAGTATACTCTACAGATTTGGAGATATGACCCGTTGAGAAACCCGTTGAGAACAGAGAGTTTAACTGTTCGGGGGCCCTGAGACCTAACCCCCTAGCCTCCGCCCGCCTTATAGTAAGTACTTGTGCGTTATCGAGCTATAAGCACCATAACCCCAATTAGGATCCCTTGTAAGGTATTGTTTAACTCCACTTATTTCCTACTTACCAAGTCCCACGATCCTGGGGTTTTAAACAATAACAATACTAATGTGTATTTTCACAGTAATAATCATGATATTTAGTAATCAAAAAAGTAAGGAATTATCGTCATAATAATTCTGAGCTAAGTATGCTTTTAAGTACATATAGCCCCAATTGAGGTACTTATAACCTTAGTTACTAAGTCCCATGATCCTCCAAGCAGAGGTGGCAGCAAAGGAGCTACCTTGGAATGTTCGCCCTCGCTGCCTCTGCCGACTGCCGTCCGACGCCGCCTTTTGGCGCACAAGTGGGGTGGAACGGTTCAAGGTTGAGGGGTTTTGGGGTTCAGGGTTTAGGGTTTAGGGTTTAGGGGTTCAGGGTTAAGGGCTTATGGTTTCAGGTGTAGCGCTTGGGGTTTTAAAGTTTAGTTTGGATGTTTGAAGCATGTGTACTTAAAGACAATGCCATTTGATATCTGCTGGGGGCAGATGTAAGGTTTGAGTGTCAGGTTGAATGATTCAGTGCGTTCTGTCGCTCAAGATATGCTTAGAGTGCAAGCTGCGCGGCCACTGGGTAGGTAACTGTTTTTTAAACTTTTCGGCTTTATGCAATCCTACCATAATTCAACAGGTTAAGCCTTTTTGGCCTGGGGTACTCAGCCCCTATGAACATGATTCAAGAGGCCGCAGGCTTAGGTCCTGTGTGCAGCTGCCAGCGTCTGAAGCATCATGTCGATTTCTGTGGAGGTGCATCTGCTTAGTGGCAAGAGTGCCTCTTTGGAAGTGGAGGCGGCCGCATCCGTTGAGTCTTTGAGGTACCTCGCCGAGAGTGCCCTGGTCTCGGGGAGAGGGAGGCTGCTGAATTCTTCCGGACAGGTCCTTGATGGAGCAAAAACGATCGCGGAGGCGAAGCTGAACAGTGGAGACGTGCTCACCCTGCACGTGAACCAAGTCCAGCTTAAAACCACCGGGCGAAGCCGTCGACCTTCCGCTGCGTTCGCCGCACTCCTGGGTGATGGATCCGTGGTCACCTGGGGCGAAGCCGGCTATGGAGGCGACAGCAGTGCGGTGCAGAATCAGCTGCGAGATGTGCAGCAGATCCAAGCTTCTCAAGGTGCATTTGCGGCAATCCTGGGTGATGGATCTGTGGTCGCCTGGGGTGATGCCGATTTTGGTGGCTGCAACAGTGCGGTACAGGATCAGCTGCGAGATGTGCAGCTGATTCAAGCCTCTGACGGAGCATTTGCCGCAATCAAGGGCGATGGATCTGTGGTCACCTGGGGTGATGCCGAATGTGGTGGCGACAGCAGTGCGGTGCAGGAGCAGCTGATTAATGTGCAGCAGATCCAGGCTTGTCACCAAGCATTTGCTGCAATCCGGGGAGATGAATCTGTGGTCACCTGGGGTGATGCCGAATGTGGTGGCGACAGCAGTGCGGTGCAGGAGCAGCTGATTAATGTGCAGCAGATCCAGGCTTGTCACCAAGCATTTGCTGCAATCCGGGGAGATGGATTTATGGTCTCCTGGGGTAGTGCCGACTATGGTGGCAACAGTCAGTGGATAGATGTGCAGCAGATCCAGTCCTCTGGTGGCACATTTGGCGGTGCATTCGCCGCACTCCTGCGTGAGGGATCTGTGGCCGCTTGGGGTGTCCACGTGTATGGTGGCGACAGCCGTGCGGTACAGGATCAGCTGCGAGATGTGCAGCAGATCCAGTCCTCTGGTGGCACATTTGGCGGTGCATTCGCCGCACTCCTGCGTGAGGGATCTGTGGTCACCTGGGGCAGTGCCGACTATGGTGGCGACAGCAGTGCGGCACAGGATCAGCTGCGAGATGTGAGGCAGATCCAAGCTTCTGATGGTGCATTTGCTGCAATCCTGGGTGATGGATCAGTAGTCACCTGGGGTAGGGCCGACTTTGGTGGCGACAGCAGTGCGGTACAGGATCAGCTGCGAGATGTGAGACAGATCCAAGCTTCTTCAAAGGCATTTGCTGCAATCCTGGGTGACGGATCTGTCGTCACTTGGGGTGATGACCACTTTGGAGGCAACAGCAGTGCGGTGCAGGATCAGCTGCGAGATGTACAGCAGATCCAAGCTTCTGATGGTGCATTTGCTGCAGTCCTGCTTGATGGATCTGTGGTCGCTCTAGGGTGTGTAGACTCGGGTGGCGATACAGACAGGAACATTGGTGAGATTTTACGCGGAAGGGTGAACAGAAGACAACCGACTGACGAGCCTCCTGGCTCTCTTTAGGCACCGAAAAGCCTACCGAAATCCGGCGTCCGAAGCCGCAAAACGCCTCAGCACCCGGCTCTGTAGTTGGGGGACTTGGTAAGTTGTCTGTTTAGGGTTAGGGTTAAGGATTTAGGGTTTAGGGTCTAGGGTTTCGGGTTTACGATGGATGAGTATCATGACCCCAACTAGGATCTCTTTTGGGGTACTTATAACTCTACTTAGTATCTACATGCCAAGTCCCCTGACCCTTCAAGTGAACACACACACACACACACACACATGCACACACACACACAAACACACACACACACACACACACACACACTAGTCAGAACTCGCCTGGGCGCCTACATTACGCCATTAAGCACCCGACCTCAGCACCTTAGCTTTAACAGTTTTTGGGGGGCTCGGCGATCGAGCAGGTTGGCCAGAATGTGCAGTGATCGAATTTAGAACGATCATTCAAGATAGGGTTTTCAAAAGTCCCTTCAACCCTGGCTTTTAATTCGACCCTGAAACTTTCAATCCGCGCCAGCCAAAAAGCACAAAGACTGGCATGCCTACAGCCTGCATGAAGCTTTTAGTATTTTTTGGTGTTTGAGTCTATCTATCCTTTACATCGGACACTTGCACTAAGAATCCGACTTCATAAACCCCATGCTAGTCGGCCCTGAACCTTCACACATCCCTAGACCCTGCGCTGCTCAGAGACTCCAAAACCCCTTAAGTAAGGAATATACCTTAACTCATAATCGGATCCCTAATATGATTTCAAGTATATTCCTTAATTAAGGGGTTTTGGAGTCTCTGGGTGCTCAGGCTTCCATGACCATCACAGAGGGCCTGGCAGATCACTTCGCAGGCCCCCACACCTAGGGTTTAGGGTTTAGGGTTTAGGGTCCAGCAGACTCCAAAGAGTTGGAAACCGGATGAAGGACACCTAGTGCGGGGATTCCCTGTACAATACCCCTAAGGATTGAGGCTATTGGGCTTCTACTGTACCTTAGGGATCGCAGTAATAGTCAATAACTATTCCTTAAGTTCCGTATGATAGCTATGGTATAATGCACGATTAAGGCCCCTATACTACTTCGAGGATCAAAAGATTCTGTATGGTTACCACGAAGTACATCGAGCTTAATTGAATTATCAGGGGACTAAGATCAAGGGTTCCTAAGGGTCTTATTAGGATAATCACGGTTTAGGATCTAGGAACTTCGTAATTTAGGCTAGAAGTTAGCGGTTGTACGCACTTCTCTAAATTGGGGTCCCTTTTAGGATCCTTTCCCAGAAGGGTGCTGTACTATTCTGGGGATCTAAAGAGGGACCCTAATTTAGAGAACTTCCCGAGTATCCTTGCTTTTTCAAGTTTAAGATTTCGGATTTCGGGAATTTAAGTCCGATGCCCACGCTCAAAACCTGTGGAACCCCATAAGCTCGACCCATATTCTTTACAAAAGAAACTTCAACAGACAAGCAAGCATACATAAGAGGATTAACCGTCTTCGCAGCAGTAGTTAACAACAAAGATGATCATATTGACAGCAGCAGCAAAATCAGCAGCAGCAGCAGCAGC